TACAGAGACCAAAATATTTAATCTGAATCCTAAACAAGATGACTAGATAGCTTTGATAATCTTATTAATTTTTAGGATACAACAAGAATATATCAATCAAACCCTTTACTTATCATATCAAAAACTAACAACTTTTTATTTATATGAAGCCTATTTTGATAAAGAGAAAGACAAGAAAGACTATATCATTGTTTGAAATCTTACAAAGCCTTCAAAAACAATCTTCAATTCTAGCTAAAATACCTTTACTCCAAAGACAATATATCTACAATCATAAACAACCTCTACTACAAGGCCAACTAATATAGAATTCTTTACAGAATAAACAACCCCAACTTTAACTCTAGCTAGCCCTAGAAGATAGTAGTACAGATCCTCTGAACTAGTTATTACAAAGTATAAATAATCTCATATTCACATTGGAAAACAACACCAACTATTTATCTCAGAAATCTAAGATAGTTAACTTTCCAATATATAGTAGAGGTGACCAAGACCCTCTTATCTGGCTAGATGAATTTGATAAGACCTGTATAGCAAATTATATATCAGAAACAAGAAGGTTCGATATTTTGCTATTATACTTAAAGAGACTAGCTTATATATAGTGAAGAAATATTGCAAACCTGAAATGATTATAACTGATTTTAGTATTTTTTTGTTAATCTTTTTTAATGATAATTTTGCACTATATATCAGCAAAACTGATAGGTTGCTAAACTTTGATCACATCAACAAGAATTGAGAGAAATAGTTGATGAATATTATAAAAACTGAAAAGATTATATAAAAGACAGAGTCTGTGAATCGATATTCACAAATCGACTATATTTACTAGTTTATAAATAGATTAAGGTCAGAACTAAAAAAACTAATCAAAATAAAATATCTAACAAATATCTAACAAGCTTGAAAAAAGCCAAAGCCACAAAAGCTATATATTCAAAAAGCAGTTCTCTAAGCTTTTATTTGTTAAAAAGAAGTTATTTAAGTCAAGATGTTCCTGCAAATGAAGAAATTAGTAAAATTAAGAAAGCTATTATTGAGATGGTACAGAACTTGAAAACTATAATATAAGATAAAAATAAAAATAGTATTGCCAATTCTTTGTCTAGCCTATCTTAACCAAAATTTAATATATCATATATACCTAACATAAATATTAGTTGTTTTCAATGTAGAGATCATAGCTATATTATAGCATAATGCCTAATATATTCCACAAGGCCTAATACTAGTAATAATAGAGAAACAGGATAGGCCTATACAATTGACAAACAAGTAATCAAAATAGACCTAACCTGGGTAGAATTAACAATAATAAGCTTGTTAATAATAATAACAATAATTCTATTAATAACAATATAGGATGGGAAGAGAATAAACGAAACCAAACTTATCTTGTGATCTTAGCAGAAAAGCTTGCAGATGCTATTGGCATAGTTGTTCGTGAATATTTAAACTAATTGGTACCACTTCTTGTAAGAATATAAATACTATAATGATAAATTTGGCAAATCTCAAAATTAAAAAAAAAACTTATCAAGTCATTTAATATCAGAGAATTTAAGGAAATTATTAATCTTAAATAATATAACAGAAGCACTAGATGTTTTTTAACAATATATAGAAATAATCTATTGTGAGTTTGCTGTGGAATAGCATCTGATTTATTTAATTTTAGATACAGGATCTAGCATAAGTTTAGTCACATATGAATTTTTAAAAAAAAATCAGAAAAGAAATAGAGAAACCATCAGTGAGAAACTTGATTAATATACATAAACAAAGATGATATCTATTAGGGGTAGTAAAGAATTTACCTATTAAATTGAATAGGATAGAGATATCTATAGATGTCAAGATTATGAAGGCTCTTGATTATACTATAATTGTGAAAACTGATTAGTTAGCTAAAGTAAAAGAAAAAATTGATTTAGAAAGAGGAATTCTTAAATATAAGTAGAATAATAACAGATTTAATATACCCATTACCTGCTAGAAGAAAATAACATATAAACAAAAAAAACAAACACCCTGAATAAGAAACCAGAAGAATTAAGTAAAGAAGAA